TGATCCACCCATAAGGTATGGATTCATTGTCATTTGTAATGATTCTGCTGCATTTGGCATTTGAGAAAAATTTGAAAGTTGGTTTCTTGTTATTTCATGTTGTTGGAGATAATATGGGAGTGGTATTTCATTTTGCATTTGTGATGGTTGATACGAGTGTGCAGTCATTGGATTTTGTTGTTGAATTGGTTGAAAAGATTGTGTATTAATTGGATTTTGTTGCTGAATTGGTTGTTGGTATTGTGTATCTATCGGTTGTGGAGAAAAAATTCTATGATTTGTATGTGGTTTCTGTGCTCCTTGTCCACGATATTCTTGAGTATATGGTGCAAATATATCTGGTTGTAAGAAATCATCATCTGAGGATAAATAATCCATTTGATAAGATGTCTGTTTTTTATTTTTATTTTGTTGAAAAAATGGGTAATTTTCACTGTGATCCTGTGGAGGATTTGTTTGGAAATTTATTGAATTAGGTTGGGCCATTGGGTTATCCCAGTTTCGAGATCTTGTATACTGGTTAAAATTTCTTCGTGGTTGGTAATTTGTTTTTGATGGATGTGTATAATTATAATTATGGTCTGCAAAGTTGTTTCTAGTGAATGTTTTGCGTGTTTTTGATGGTATTGTCATGGGTCTGTATGTTTGGTAATCCATATGTGAATATTTTGGAGCAACCGAAGGTTTAACGGTTGATTGTAGGGTTACTTGTGTTTGTGAAGGATTTGTATTTCTTGGTGTTGTTAAATTTGGGTGTATTGGTGAAATACTTTGTTGTGTAGTTGTTGTGTGTACAATTTCTTCATTTATGAAGTGTGATGGTGTCTGGATATCTTGTTGAGTAAGATTCCTAGTTCCATTGAGGTTTTCGTTGTGTATGACTGTAGAGTTTAATTTATTATTTTGTGTATCGGGCAAAAATGTATTATAGTTTAATGGTGTTGCATCAATGGTGAATGGTATTACTCTTACATAATCTCTTATGTAAGATATTGTACTTATTGCTTGACTTGAGATTGATTGTGGGAAGCTTATAAATGCGGGATGAGACCATTCGGGGTCCCAAACATAATCTGATTGTTCTGTGATAGCGGTATCATCGTTCGAATTTTGGGGTCTAAAATTTTTTCTTGCTTGTGCAATTAAATCAATATTGTGTGTGAAATAATCTATTATGAACCATGCCAAAGTTTTTTGTAGATCGTGTTTTGTATGTTGTGAAACGTCGTCTTTCGTGAAATTTTCTTTAATAATGTTTAAATAACTAGAGAGTAGTGTGATTTCATGTCGTACTCTTAAATGTTTAGATGTTTCTGTCGGTGAGACATTTGTTATTGGGATTTTGTTTTCTAATATCGAAATATAACTATATATTATTGCGAAAACTTCATTAGTGAAAATGGAGTTTGCTCTTTGTGAGTTATGGTATTGGATGCTTTTTATATATTCTGAAAAAACTTTTGAAAATTCTAAATCAAGATCGTCTGTTTGAATTGTATATTTCCTATGATTATGGTTTGGTGAGGTGAATTCTATGGAGTAGATTCCATATTGTTGTGTTATGTTGCATATATCTTTTAGGTAGTGGTCTATGATTTGTCTTTTGATTTTTACATCTGGGAACTCTGTTTTACATGGACTGATTCCGGGTTCAAATAAATTTAATAGTAAATTTTTGCAAAATATATGCTGTCCTCTATCAGTGGTTGCATCTACTATAAAAGGAAAGATTTCATCATCATCTGGAGTTTCGTCACCTGGGGTGTGCGTTGAGCTCATTTTTTCGTTCGATGACTGTTAATATGTAATTATTAATGTGTCGAATTGGTTGATTCCAATTGTATAAATGTACTGGTTTATGTTTATACTGCTTTTTTATTCTTCTTTTTCCTCTTTTTGATGAATTTGAAGTTGTTTCTGAGTCAGAAAAATATAATTGATCGTGAAGTGGGCAATTTTTATCTATTGATTGTTTTAGTTTGTAAAGTTCGTCTAAACTGTTGGTTTCTGATTCTGAAAATGCGTTTCGATTTTTTGAAAATCTTTTTCGTGTTATTTGTCTTTGTTTCGTTATTATTTTTCTTTTTAGTGTTTGTCGTTTTGTTCGAATGTATCCTACTGTTTGTGTATGAGGTGTGATTACAAGGTCGTATTTTTTGTTATCTATTTCACAATTGTGTAAAACGATTGTTTGTTTATTTCCTAGGTTTTTAAATGACATAAGGTTTAGGATGACGGATGCAAAAAGGTGTTAAGTGAATTCTAATTGCTTAAACTGTTAGTCCTTACGATTTTTTGGTTAGCTTAACCTGGGTCTATTTGTTCAGGGTTGGAGAGAAAAAATTATATCTATTCCGGAGAATGATTTTTACTTTCTCGTGACTAGTATAAGTTAAGGTGTTAACTTACTTAATCTTACTTAGGGGTAGTGATTGTGTTCAAGGGTTGGAGAATAGTAAATCGATCCACAAAGTTCAGGTATAATTAGAACGCGAGTAGTTCGTTAGATACTATTTTAAACTTACTAAGTCTAAGATTTATCCTGGGTCTGGTAAGAGGTGGGAGTTAAGTGAAGGATGAATAACCGAAGTTCTTCACTGTTTATCTTAATTTGAATGATTAGTTTTGTTTAAAAATTTCTATTAGTCTTGGGTCTGTAGAAAGGGTTGGATAGTGAATCGACGTTTGAGGTCGTTAGACACTAGTTAAGTGGGTGGGGGAGAACAAAATTGTTCTTTTTGATCCAAGGATAGGCCTTGATGATCAGGTTTGAAATTTAATTAACTAGAAAATGATTTAAGATCCAAGGATAAGCCTTGATGATCTGTTTTTAAAATTAAGTGAATTTAAGTTTTAATAAAGATTGAAATTTATTGTAAAGAAAAGATTTAGTGTTTTGATGATATTAGTGAGCTTATGATTGCTGTTATGTTTTAGGTGATGAAGCTGGGGCAACAGAATGATTTATGATTACTAACCATTTATTGTCATGCTACTAATTTTTATTTTTATTTTTCAATAATTATTTTTCAAACATGTTTTGTATATTACTGCAGAGTTTTAGGAAAACGATCTGAGATCTTTTTATCAATCGTTATTGTATATTATTAATTTTGTTTAGCGCCTGAAATGATTTTGAAGATTAACTTCAAGGTTTTATGTTTGCAAATGAAAATCTAAATTCATTGCCAGTAGTATTCTAAATATAAAAGTTTGTTCTGGTTTTTGCCTAACTATCATATAGCTATATGGCAAGTTTCTACTTTGTCGTATGTCGTCTCTGGTTCGAGGTCTTCTTCCAATTCCGGGTAGTTCTGTTATGGTTCGGAATATTGGCTTTGATCTATTGAGTCGTAGAGACATTTCGATTAAATTATTGTCGTATAACATTTTGTAAATGTTTTTGTCTAATTTCTAATCTATTTTGGTTAATTCTAAGCTATTAAGGTCTTGTTCGAGACTTATGGTCGCACCAGATGAGTTAGGACTGGAGTGTATAACTCATAGAGTAATTTCGGATAGGGTACACCGTCTGCTCGTCACGCTATCTTATTTTCGGCCGGATAGATTCGTGCAACTTCTTAGTCTAATACCGATCCTAATCTTACTCTTATACTATCTAGTCTCAGGTTGTTTAACTAGTCTCTGCTAGGCTCAATAGATCTAGGGTATACTGGTTTATTGCGGCTGCTGAAGTACTCGGAAGAGTCCAACTAATTTCTAAGTTAAATTCAAATCTCTCTGGTGCTGAAATTACAAGTAACTTCAGCACTTACAAATAAGTGGGTTGTTAGTTAGATGGATCATGATTGGTTAATATTAAATACTTTACATTGGTAAAATATCTAATTTATCCAATCATAAAATGTAGTTTAGATCAGGTTCCATCAGCCTCATATTACAAACTAATCAAAAACAAAAAATTGAATCGATGTTGAATGTTTTTATGGTAAATTTATTGTGTAAATCTCGGATCTTGTTAATTGTTCGGACTTTCGTGACGAAAGTAATGGAATATTTCTGCTCGAGGTGGGTTTTTTTCTTCACACAAATTTCGACTTTTTACCTAGCCATTTTTGACAGAACTTTTTTATATCATATAATCCGTCTTAGAATCACTCCAAATTGGTAGAAGAAAATTTATTTGCCATAATTGATTTGTTACTAGGAGCAAAATTTATCAGTTTGTACTTTATATGACGTGTGGGGGATGATTTTGACAAAAAGGTCAGATTTAAAAAAAAATTAATTTTTTTTCTCCATTTAAATTTTTCATGTGATTACTGCCCCATAGACCTCAAAAGGCAGTCAGAACATTCAGGCTTCACCCTGACACACGCAGTTTTGTTTTCCCGACTTTCGTAACGAAATTAACGGAATATTTGTGCTCGGGGTGGATTTTTTTTCAGACAAATTTTGAATTCGAAGTTTTTAACTAGCCATTTTTAACGGTTTTTTTTGAAAAGATCATTCAAAAAAATTGTTGTCTTGAACTTAAATTTGAAAGATATAACCAGTAATCATTTTTCGTAAAATTATGGGGGTTTAAAGATTGTCATTTTGGCCAATTTGGGACAATTAAAGCGCGATATATTTAGAGACAGAGATGTCGAGAGACAGTGATCTCGAAATGTTCGTCGATGAAAACATACCATAAATTAATTCCAGCCACATTGCTTTGGAAAGCAGTCTTTTTGCAGTCCGATCGAAACCAGCAGGCCTATTGGGATAACGCTCATTTGAACCACAGGTTGTTATCGCCAGAGTTGATGGTTGGAACAGTCTAAACGCACTTTGCGCCTCACACAATTCTCCCTTCTTAATTTTAGTGGATCATTTCACCCCTCATAAATCATTAAGAGGCCAAACTGTACCTAAATGCGGGTTCCGCTTGAAGTTTATTCCGCCAGAACTTTTTGCGAAATCAAACATCAAACGCGAAATGTGAGTGTGGCAAAACGTGTTGCATTCGGCAATAATACCGAATGATTATATTTCAGGTGAAAGTGTATTGTCAGCCGTGTGGTTTTGCCGTGAAAGGATACACGCTCGACAAGACCATCTTCTCCCAATCCAACAAGGAAAACGAAGGCCCGTACACAAGTCAAGTAAGCATATTGTCTTAGAATAAGTCAGATATTTGGGAGTGCCTAGTGCTAAGCCGACTAACTCTAGACGATAGCCATGGTTTATCTTGCAAGACCTTGAGATCTTGCAAGATTTTTGCAAAGAATGTTTATCTTCCAATAATATGTTTATCTTGCAAGAAATTTGGCAGCGTATGTTTATCTCACAAAAGTCTTGCAAGATAGCATTGTTATATATGCTGCCGGAACGTCAAGTTGCAATTTTTTAAAAAGTATGGAGAAAACTCCGACCCTATAGTAGCTTACAACATATTCGGTGGTCCCATGGCCTGTTTTTGAAGACACTCGGTTGTAAACTATCACGGATTATTTTACTTGCTTTATTTTCTCAATGAAATCTAATTAAAAACATGAAAATTCATCTGAAGATCTTCATCACTTCAAAGGGCGATCTAAACCGGACGCACGTTTATTTAACTCAATTATGGCGGCGATGGAGTCCCCTTTATTCCTGGTTGTAGTTGTAGAGAAGATGTCTTTTTTGAAGAAATCTAAATCTTTCATAGTCCTCAGAAGTTTCTTTCAAAAAAGGAAGATAATTAGCGTTCTGATAAAAAATTGTAAAATCAAATTACCTGATTAACATCTTCCCAGTCCTAAAACGTTTCCCAAGAATAAAATCAGACCAGAACCATCAATTTGGCTATCTTTTTTTTGCTAGTCATCAATTAATCACCGTCGTAGCGATTTTTAAGACGACAAAAAGCTCAAAGGACAGCCAGTAATTTGAAATCTTATTTGGTAAAAATCAACTAAAAAAACTCGCATCACTTTTCCGAATCACCAATTTTCTTAAAATCCGAGATCCGTTCTTAATTAAACAAGATCATGATTAATTTACTTAAGAAAATGTTCTCATTTTTATTTTGGTTTCAAGGATAATTTGAAGGACAATGACGAAGGTGTGACTACCAACCGCAGAAGCAGAGGACTGAAGGTGTGATCAAGTTAAAACTAGATTATTAATCAAGTTCAATGTAAATATTAAGTATGTACTTTTGTAACTATCGTTTCTTTCCTATTGAATTCTGTGAACATTGATTTTTTTTTCTGTTCAGCTGCAAGCATGATGATGTGAAGAATATATTTTGACGGCGGTCATTAGAAGTTAAATATATCAATGCAGGCCTGAAGTTTGATGAAAACAGATGATGAAAAAATTGATAAAAAAATTAATTAGAATGGTTAATTGTAAATTAGAAAAAAGGTTATCACATTATGCATAATTTCAGGAGTTTGTTGTTTTTGCCAATTTTCAGCACGTCTGGTTTTTCCTAATCTGAGTTGAGTCTAAAACACTAAAAAGATTAAGAGATTATTTAAAAAGCAACAGATTATGCTCTAAAACTTATTTTCGCGTTTAAAAACTTTTGGAAGCTAAGTTTGATTATTGTTTGGTTCAGTGCTGTTCGATCAACAAAATTGGGATCAAAATTTGCATTAGAGTTTTTTGACGCAAAGATAAGTACAAAAAAACTGCCGTATGGGGGCGAGGTGTTTTATTTAACTTTTGCAGTCGCGATTCGAGCTTCAACGAGAAATGCAAACTTTTTTGTGTCAAAAAGACATGCTTTTCATTTTTAATTATTGTAAGAATGGAGTTTTGCTTCGAAAAGATTTTAAAAAGGGACAAGAGAATGATATCATAATATGATTTTTTGAATTTTTCTTGTTATTGCAAAAGTGATGGTGAGAAGAATCTCCTGTGATGGATGCGCGTCAGCTGTCCAATCTTGTTTTTTCAACCTCAAAAGCGGAATTGATCTTTATTGAAAGTTCTCCAATGCTCTTCTTGTAAAGTCGCGTTTTGTTTTAAATCAAAAATTTTGAAGTTCTATTGATCATTTTTCATTGCCGTTTTTACTTCAAAGAAAGCGATCAGGTTGCAGTGAAAATAGAACAGAATCTTCTAAAATTTAAAGCTCCAAGTTAGAATTTTCCTATAAATTATCTTATTTATTCTAAAATGTGTAAAAATTGACAAAAAATTTCCGGTTTTCCAGAATGAGCTAAAAGTAACAGAAACGCGTTTTCAGTTTCGCAAATAGGTACCCGCACTCAGTAAAATGAGAAAATAATAGATTATAATGGGTTTTTATTGTCAGTCTCCATAAATTATAAAAAAAATTGATTATAATCGATTAAAAATGGTGCGGGTAGTAGCTTGTTTTCATTTTCTAAATAATCTTTTGAGCACTAAATTATAAAAAAAATTGATTATAATCGATTAAAAATGGTGCGGGTAGTAGCTTGTTTTCATTTTCTAAATAATCTTTTGAGCACTAAATTATAAAAACAAAGATTCTCAGAAAATTACGATACTCTTGGTTTCTATAAGCATGAGTTTCATCTAATGAACTTGGGCAGAGGTATAAGTAAAATGAATTATATTGATTATTTACATGTTTTATAAAGATAACTAAAAAAAGGCTGGCGGGTTTTGGATCAATCAGCTACAACTGACAGTTGATTGGCATACCCGCACTGAAGTTTCGTGGATAATAGGATATTAATTTGGATTTTCATAGTCAGTCTCTATAAAATAACAAAAATAATTGGTTTTAACATTTTCCTAATTTCAACCGCGAATATGAAAATTTATAAAAAGTCACGTATTATTGTTATTATTTTAATTGAGTTTTATACCCGCGTTCAAACCAGCAATTAAACCCAAACCAACACTCCCCACACGTTTACCACACCCCCAATAAACACTAAACATCATCAACTGGTTAGGTAATTATATAGTATGGGTAAACGTGTGTGGGGGGCGGGGACCTGAGGGGAGATAGGGGTACGCGTGTGGGGTAACGTGGAGAAGCGGGATTTTCAAAAAAATCTAAAATTTAGTCGATTTTTTTTCAGGTCGGCCAAGTTGATTTTCTGAGCGCCCCTCAACACAAAAAATAATGTATTTCGACCAAATTTTTAGTGCTGCAGGCAAATTTCTTGAAAAAAACTGGTCGTAAAACAAATTTTGGGTTTTTTTGAAAAATACTACATATTGGCCTCTTCAAAATATTACATATGTGCCGCCCCTGGATGAACGTGTTCAATCGAGTTTTGCAAACATTGCAAAAAGTAGAGTGATTATTTACAAGATTTAATCAAATTACATGGATTTTATGAACAAAAATTAATCCATTATATTGAAAACAAAAATGGATTATCATCGACTATAATGAATTTCAATGGATTTTTTATTTTCAAAAATAATCAATTAAAATGGATAAAAATTGAATACGTTGTCTTAATTTGCCATGATAATCGATTATATAGACAAACCATTATAATCGGTTTTTATCTATGAAATTTTGGTGCGAGTAGCTGTTTAAGCTCAACAACTGCCACCTGCGCTTTATCTTTTCAGGATTGCTTGCTTAAATTCTTGAACGAATAACAAAAAGTAGAAAGTGATTTATTGTTCCGACTTCCGATATATACGTTCTGGCTGGATTTTTAAAAAGCTTTGTCCTTCGAAGGATCGCTCTCTTGCTCTGCATGAAGCCAGCTGATTGTTCTCAATAGTATAGTAACCCGCCATAAGTATGCCTCAAACTGCTTGTTTTATTATCCCGCGCTACAAAATGGTTCCAAATTGAGTTGAGGCAGCTAATTGGTTTTACTAACTCCACGAGACCAAGTAAGTCGGAACATTCAGGGCTTCGCCTGATACGAGCAGTCTTGTTTGTCATAGAACGAGTTTGATTTCTCTTAGTTAGCTCATGGCTTTTTGATTTTTCTTTTCAAAATAATTGTTGGCACCCTTAGTAGTCTTGAATATTGTTTTGGTTTTAGTTAGTCCATATGCTTTCCAAAATGAGCCAAAGCGGTCAACTAAATTGAATTAAAACCGCTTTTCAATATAAAAATTGAAACGCCGGAATTATGAAGCTCAACTTTCAGTTTTCAAAACCAATATAAATTTCCAGAACTCCCATCGGAATAACCAATTTTATGTTTGCCTTTTCAAGTTGGGTTAGATGTCTCTGATCTACTCAACAATCTCTCCCTCCCTATGGTAATTACTAAAGAATCTCCACCCCTATAAAAAAAGACAGCAAGTTAGCACTATAGCTTTATTTTGAGAATTCGAATTTAGCTGCATTCTGATTGGTTGAAAACTTGACCGTTTTGATCTATTTAACAGTATCCCCCCTTCAATTAGATCCGATATCTCGAAAAAAACTTAGTTTTTTTCAGAATCTAGAAAAGTGCTCAAAGTGGTGTTAGTTATTCTGTGAAACTCGAAAATAAAAAACAGAATTTTGTTTTTGATTGCATTTGGAACTCATAGGCTGGTTCAAAAAGTCTGTTCGATATGATATTTTTGCAGTGGATTTTATTTGTTTTTTTTTAGCTTTTCGAATTTATTAGCTATCGTTTTATAAATTCGGAACATGAACGCAATTTCTCATACTAATAAACGAGGATTTTTGCTCAAAATAAGGTAGTAAGTTCATGCTATTCGAAGTAATTTATTTTCCATTAGGTTGAATTTTTTTCTCCCAATAGATAAAACTTTCGATTTCTGATATCTGCATCATAAGCTTCATAACTTTGATTACTCATTTATCACGGATTTTTTTCTAAGAATTGTCGATATAGTCTGAAAACGTATCTATGAAGGCAGTCTCGAGTTTTCTATCCAACAACTGCATCAAAATTACTGAATACGGAGCACCCCTTAGGGCGTTTATTGCAAAATTTTGCATTTTTTTTACTCGCAGCATTTTTTTGGTGTCACTAACACATTCAGGGGTGGATTAAGGTGGGGGGGACGCCTTTTTCAGGGATTCGATCCCCTGCCGACCCTTTTTTAAGAAATCCATTTTTGGCTGATTGGCCCTAGAGTTTTCCAAAAATACGGTCTGCTAGTGTTCTGGGAGCGCTCGGAAAAGGTAAAAAAGGTCGACAAAGTTTTCAATTTTTTTTTTGAAAATCTCCGCACCCCACTCAAGAAAATCCTAGATCCAACCTCCTGAACACATTACATTTATCTAACAGCTCAACTGGGATATAGTTGATATAGTCTGACTAAGCTATACGTATAGTATTAGACGTATAGTAATGGCTTTAACTTAATCACTTATTTCTGGCTTAAACGTATTTATATTAAAACTTCAATTCTTATACTTATTCATACACTTTAAATTCTTCTTTTGCCGCCATTGCCCCAGTAGCCGTGACTCAGTCGCCCCCTCTTGCCCTCCTCCTCCATAGGTGCCTCCTCCCCCTCCGAATACCCTCTCTTATGCCATCCCCAAGTGACACGCCCCACTCCCAGCCTACTCCTCTTATCGTAAGGTTCCAATCCCTCTTCACTGGACTCGGCTGGTCTGGTTGAAAGAGTTGCAATTAGAAGCATCACTGAAAACAGTCGTTTGGTTGGAATTTTACAACTTGAAAAGTGAAAACAGTCGTTTGGTTGAAACTGTACAATTTTATTTTTCCGCCGAAGAATAGTTTCGAAGGTTTTCAAATTATGTTTTTTTTTCTTCAGAGAAACTTCAAACTTTTGATTTTCTAACTATTTTGACCGGATTTTTTTTGTGAATTATCTGAAGAGTCTTTGCCTTGAGCTCAAATTAAAAAAATATAAGTTTTAACCGTCACCCTTTTTTGAAGAGTAACGGGAGTTTGAAAGTTGCCAATTTGGGTCATGTGGGATAGTTATCGCAAAATAGAAGTTATGCCATTACAATGTCAGCCGCAAACTAAATTGCTCCAAACTTACTTGAGGCAAGCATTTTTTAATAAGCTACCAGACTCGAACTATATCAGTTTGTAATTTTCCAATATTTTTTTTTCATTTACTTGAGCTGAAATTTGAAAAATATTTCATATGTGATCCTTTTTCATAAAATATGATATGATGGTTTAAAATTTGCCAAATTGTATAGTTGTTCCGACTTTCGAAGAAAACGGGATATTTATGCTAGGTGTAGTTTTTTTAATCAGTCAGTTTTCAGCGATGAAAATATATATAATAAGTTTTATTTTTACAAAAAGAATCATTTTAAAAACCATAGAAGATATCGACTTCTTGGAATCAATTTTAAAAAGACACTTTACCTCTAAATACTTTTTGCAAAATTTTCGGAGTTTGAAAATTGCCAATTTGACCATGCTGTGGACTGATTTATGCGAACTTTGTAGATTTTACTTATAATCCTGAAAGAGTAAATTTTTATGCGTGTCGAATTATCCAGCAAAATTTTTCCAAATTCAACCGAGACAGGCCAATCAGTCGCAATAATTTCGTACGACTCACCTTTTCATAATTGATTTTTGATATTGTAAACAATTTTTAGTTTTTCACAATTTTATTTTCCCAAAAACTATTTGATATGGGTTAAGGGGGCAGTGGGAGCATTCAAAGCTTTGCGCTGATATACGAGCAGTTTGTTTGAAAAGCAACACACGACTTGCTATTTACTCTAGAGTGGAAGACTAAATTACACAAGAACAGAACAAAAAAAATTTAAAAATATATTTTGAAAATCTACCCAAGGAATCCGACATCCATCACTGAAAGCAACAAAAATACTTGAGACATCTTCGCGTTATTCTTAGCCAATAAATAAGTTTTCAGTTGTGGCAAACAATTTGATCATGAGCAGTACTTTTTTCCAAAACTTCTTTTGATTTTTTCATAGTCTCTGAATTTTTTGTCGCAATTTTAATTTTAATCATTAATCAATTTTTTTGAATTCAAGCAGAAGTAAAATAATTCTTAGTTATTCCTTTTATTTGTTATGGTAAATAACTTGAAAGGATTTGCATTGCCATGCTCTCTTAAATAACAGCTTTTTTTATTAATATGACAAGTGCTAATTGAACATGCACTGGATTTTTTTTATTCCAATTTTGTTCGTCATCTAACATGTTCTTACCTATAAATTGGGATTCTATTATGAACAACCTCAAATCGTTTGCCCGTGTTAAGATCATTTACTCACTAGGAAAAGGACAAACATACGAGCTGTACAGCTTATCAAGGCGAACTGCTATTGTAACCTTGATTAAGATCTACATGCAGTTTTTTTGGTTCCTTTTCTTGGCTGGTTGCCTCACCCTCAAGGAACGAGTACGGATTATTGTGTGCCTCGATTATCCGACGTTTCGATTGAGAGGTCGAGACGTCACCACTTCACTACCGCTTCCCTAAACGGTTTTGCCCTGATACGAGTAATTTTCTCGTATTTCACTTCTGTATTATTTAATGTCAAATCGTTAGCCAAAGCTCTTTCGTTCATTGATACATAGCAAAATTACATAACCTAAACTTTCCCACCTTGACCTGACAACTGCATCTTCACGCATTGCAAGACGTAAACAAAGTGTCAACAAATCAAATGAACCTGAAATTTTTTTTTCTACAATTAGGAAGCTCGAAGGTCAGCAGTATGATAGTAAATTGGTATCTATTTATACTTGGTTGTTTGTATTGTAGATTGTAGATAGTATTGTAGATATTCGAATCAAAACAAGCTTTTTTAAGGTTTATCTGATAACTATCAAACTCGAATAGGTTGTATTACTCTCTTAGTTGAGGCAAATGCAAAACCCCCCTGCAATGCAAATCTAAATTACCTGTGTAAAAATATCTTTATATTGTTCCTAGAAAAAAGGATGAATGGTATCAAACTTCAGTACCATAGTTCTCCAAGTAATGCAAAAAATTTTTTAAAAATATTGTTTATCCGTTTTCCTTCAAACTAAAGTGAAGGGCTCCAAATTGAACTAATTTCTCCCTCTTTTTAAAAACAACAATCACATCGAGGGCACAAACACATTATCTGCGATTCTAAACACATTGTTTAGTATTGCTCATTTTCTTCCAATACTTGGAATAATTTACAACTCTTCTGCTAAATCAGAATAAATGAGATAAAATTTTTTTAAAAAAATATTGAAAAAGCAAAACCAAACAAGTAGCGCAGAATGTTCGCTTACCAAACAAGTAGCGCTTAAAAAAGTACAATTTTTTTTTCAAACTGCTGTCGTTTTTTCTGCATGTTGTGATAAAAAAGATCTGAACAAAAAATTAGATTAGACATATCTGAGAGTCATAGTAAAATAGGACCATTGGACAACATTTTTTAAAAAGAAAAATGACAAGAAAAACAAAAAAGAAAAAATTTAAAAATTTCGAAAATGTTTTTCAATTTTTTTTTGCAAAATTTTAAAAATTTTTAAAGTTTTTTATTCAAAAACTGCGCTTAGAAACTCCAGAAATTACCTTTACTCGACAAAAAGCGAAAAAAAAAACAAAGCCGAATACAAAGTTCCTACTATTTTGAAATATCCTTTTTTGGCTGGCTGACCCTAAAATTTTTTTAAGGCGCCCAAGGCGACAAAATACACTAATTTTGAGGGGCGAGTGCGTACCAAAAAAAAACGAAATTTTTGAAAAGAATTTTCCAAAAAGTGCCTCAAACGCATTTTTTTAAAAAATTTAGCAAAGTATTTTTAGTGCTTTGGCAGAGCTCGGAATTTTTTTTGAAATCCGCCCCCCCCTCGAAAAGGATCCTACATTCGCCCCTGCCTTTAGGGGAAAGTTTTGGAAATTTAGGTCTTTCAACGGGTCATTAGAATAGTTTTTAAGGGTCATTTTGTCAAGAAAAATAATAAGGAACAAATTCAGATGACAATTGCAAAAGTTCGCATCGGAATTAAAGAGATTGATGAGGGAGAATTGAACCGACTCCCTCAAACCCTTGTCTTATCCCCGTATTACCCTGCCCTGTGATTAAAAAAATCAATTTTCAACCTCAGCAATTTATTATAAAATTTCTACGATTTTTGACAAAACTGATTTTGAAAAACGCGTTAATTTCGAAAAATAAATAAGTTAAAAAAATGAAATGTAAGTTATCAAATGCCTTTCCAAAAATTTCTCATTGAATCAACTTTTTTCCATGCAATGACAAAAACATTGAACTCCGAGAAAACTGAGCCCGATATTTCTTTCTACCGTTAGCGAGCTTTTTCGACGCCAAGAAGATCTCTGCAACATTAAACAAAGCAGCTGCCGTCATTAGATCTCTTAAACGTATTAATAAATCTTAAACTGAAAATTTAATTTTGAATTGTAAACAGTCGCAGAGAACAGCAAAAAAAACGCGAAAAAACTGAATATGGTAAATTTGTGAAAAAAATTTAACTCTAACAATTCACCGTAAATTGGATAAAATCGGTTCTAGGATTTTCTCGAGAAGAGGTACGGATTTTCAACAAGTTTTTTACGCTTGCGATTAGCAAGCATTATTAAACTGGAATATAGACTTTTTTCGGGTTAGCAATTTCTTTAACAGAATCACTTGAATAAATTGGTATCTTGGTTCATGATGAATTCATATTTTTAAGCATCTCCGGCTCACTTAGTCTGGAGGTAACCAATACGCCTGGGAAGCCAAAGGTCCTGGGTTCGAATATGACCGGACCTGTTTTTTTTTTGCAAACGGGAAATAGTCCGTTTCAAAAAAAAGTGTCGGTTCAAATGCTGTATTGTAGATTTTTTTCTTAAAATTTACATTATAGTTGCTTTTAGTGTTCTGATTAACCTCCGCTGTTTGTAACTTTACTAAAATTCACTTCGTATACATACATATTTTTTTTCGTTTAAAAACTTTATTCTGCGCACATGATTTTGGCGTATTTTTTATTGGCGTAGTGACCTACTTCGAGTCATTTCATCGGAAAAATACTTTGTTTACTCGCCTCTGCATTGCTCAAAATGCTAAATTTCTTAGTATAAATATAGTTAATTTTTTCATGATAGTAATTTTTTCCGGCTTTTCTATTTTTTCTTTTTCTTTGGCTTTATAGGTTGCCGCGTGAATTGTTTCGGCTTATTGGCCTCATATTGCGTCTTCCGACAGGCGAAAAAAGTTATGTGTGTGCGTGTCTGTGTTTTGAGGTTGAGGGAACTTAACATCTTCTTAGTCTTAACGTTTTCTTTATTTTTTAAGCTTTTTATTTTCTTTTTTTTTGGGCTTAATAGGTTTCGGCTTGTTCTATATTGGCGTAGTGTCCTCATATTGTTTCTTTTGACGAGTAAATGAAGTGTTTTGAGGTTGAGTTGGACGTATTAACTTTCCAGATGTCTGAAGTCTTGTTTATTTTTTTTGGCTTAAGGGTTTCTGAAAATGTATTGTTGGCTTTGTCACCGCGGGGTACATTATCTTCCGATGCTTATTACACATTCTTTTGCCTTGTCATGTTTTTGTTTCAAAACTAGCCTTATTCTTTTCATTGGATCTAATTTTTTTGACCTTTTCGATTTTTTTTTGTTTTTTTTTGTTTTGTATCGCAAGTGATGCGAAGCTCAGCTTCGCCTCTGATGTTTTTAGGTGTCGACCAAAATGATTTTTGAAGCGCTCTGAGAACACTATAATGACCAAGTTTGACCAAATTTTTTGCGCCACTGGCAAATTTTTGAAAAAAAACAGGTCAAAAATGCCGTTTGTGGACACATTTTGGAACATTTTGACCAAAAAGTGGCATTTTTTGGCGCGCGCTCCTTTTCAATGTTAGTATATATTGGCGCCAAAGGCGCTTTCAGGAAAATTTGAATTGGGATTTCTTCATGGATTTCGAAAACGGATTTCATAAAATAATAAGAGGACCCTTTGGTTGGTGAAGGGATGGAATCCCTGAGGGAGGGGGCGTCCGCCCCTGATTGCGCCGCAACTTAGTGTTTGTCCTCATACAGATTGATTCACTATTTTGCTAACACTTGTTATATCAGATAAATCAGAAAAAAAAATTCCGTAAAAACAGCATTTGATTGATTTCTGCCAGAATCCGATCATATACTAAGCTATATTTATCACGATACTAGCTAATTTAGGGGCCAGGAATGAAGTCGAAAACCCTAAGCCATATTTGGTACTATTTTATGGCATCCAAATATGCCGATGATTCTAAAATTTTTCTGAAGGGTCAATCAGTAGCGTGCCCGCGGGGGGGGGGGGGGGGTGGTGGGGGGGGGGGGTGTGGCAACCGCCCTTTTCCTCAATTCTGGTTGCTAAATTTTTCCAAAGGGTCTAATTTTGGTATAACCTTATGACATCCATTTTTCGTTGCCAATATGACTAATTTTGAGGGTGGACGGTGCGTCAAAAAAATGCAATTTTTTGGTTAAAAATTTCCAAAAAATGCCTGAAAACGCCTTTTTTGGCCTGTTTTTTTTTTAATTTGCCCGTGCGGCGCAGAATTTTTTAGGGTCCAAAATAGGGTCCTTATACTAATAAGGGAGAGCTCGGACTATCAAATTGGTCAACCTAAAAATGGTCGGCAAAACTTTCAAAATTTTTGAAAAACCGCCCCCTCCCACCCTAGAAAAATTTCTGTGCACGCCACTGCCGTCAATATATACTAAAATTGAAGGGGAGCTCCAATTTGTGAACACAATTCGTCAAACAATGCCTTTTTTCGCTTCTTTTTCCAAAGACTGCGTGTGTTTCAAAAAGTATCAGAAAAGGGTCTTTCTAGTGTTTTGGATCATTTAGTCAAGAAAGGTCAACAAGATATTCAGATAATTTTTGAAAATGTACTCCTCTATTCTCGACAGTTCTAGATACGCAGTCTGATACGATATTTTATGCTAAAATTTAGTGTCAGAATAATACAATTTTCTATTTGGAAAACTAGATTACCTGCAGACACGTAGAAAAGTTTATCCATTTTTGTAACTAGGAATGAAGAATTGGCAAACTAAGAACTTTTTAAGCAGAAAAAAATAACAATGACTGAAATTTTAGTGAAAGATATTCTAGGTTCTGCTTGATTACTAAAATAATTTTCTGAATGAATTTACAACATTCTATGAAATGCTATAGCTGAATTTACTTCAAAATCATTGGTTGAAAAGTACGAGCCACAATTTGACTGTAAATACCCTCTGAAATAGAAGGTTTTTTTCAGAAATTGCTCGGCATAATCTACAATTTTGCCGTCTTTTATTGCCAAATGTTGATTTTTCAGGGGGGGGGGGGGGGTGTTATGCGCGCCGAAAAAAAACGCTATTTTTTGGCCTGTTTTTTCAAAATTTTGTCTGCGGCGTAGGAAAATTTGGCCAAACCAGGGTCTTTTTAGTACTCTGGGAGAGCTCGGAAAATCAATTTGGTCGACCTAAAAAAAAGGTCGACAAAATTTTCAAAATTTTTTGAAAATCCACCCCTCCCCCCTCGAAAAAATCCAAGATCAACCCCTGGTTATAAAATAGAAATGATCCTACAGAATTTCTTCTGAATATATTTTTTAGAAAACGGAATATCAAAAACTAGTGAACACTAAATCTTGTCCATTAAATAATGAGTTACATCTAAGCCGACCCTCGTCCGCTCCCCATTAAGGAGCCCGCTAGTAGATTTATCAATCAGCTAATCGTCAAGTTAGACTTCTGCAGGGGAGGGGGGGAGGTAGGGTTCATTTCAAGGCCATGAAAGAGGGGGTATTCTAACGGAAACCAAATGAATTTTTTTTAACCTTAAAGTTTACGCAAAACTTTACAAATTCTACCATCAATGCAATCAATTCAATATGACAAGGTCTCTTCGTTATTGATAAACCGTGTTCAAAGATATCAACCCAGTAGCGAATGTAAATTACACCTAAATGTCAAACAACCGGAATCAAAAGGTCAATTAACGGTTGCCAAATGGTACCAAACAGTTGATATAACCGAAATAGGTTCCACTAGATAAAGATTATAAAGCGAGCGTCACATCTTTTCGATTAGAAGCAATGGCAATATTTGTACTGCTAATGCGGGTACCATCTTAAATTGTGTCAAGTTGCTTTATTTGCATAAAAACGCTCAAAACTTGAAGAAAATTTTTTTTCTGTTAGTAAAATATAAGAAATCGACTTTTAAGTTACTTTCAATTAATATTCTTCAGCCTGCTGCTTCTGCTAACTGTACTTTCATCGCTTTTTATAGAACGAAATGTTTCAATGCTGCGACTGTGAAACGCCTTCAGCTTCAGCCGACGACTCACAAAGCCGAAGCTATGTCAACTTAAGTTCAAACCTCCGTTCTGTTATTCCCATTCGATGCATTGGCTACAACGAAGTTGCAAAAAATCTAGCTATAGTCGACTTCCTCACTGGCGCTAAGCTGGAGTTTATAGCTGGACAACATATAGGAGTTCATTCACACGATTTGGGCAAAAACTTTGTGCCCAACGACGTTAAGAGTGGACTTTTTACAATAGTTTCCCCGCCTTCTTTGCTTCCTGTGGTCAAAGTTGCGGTCGTGAGCTGCAAACTAGAAGCTACAATTGCTCATTTTCTGTTCTTTTCTGTCAAAATCAACGATATTTTGTTCATTGACAAGAAAGCGTGGGGAACGGTTGCGGTCTCACCGCGCATGCTGATTACCCCCTCGGAAGGTCCCCAAGGACTCTGTCTGATTTCGGGGGGTTATGCTGTTATGAGTCATCTGGCTATCATAGAGGAGTTGCTTGTCAATCCCGATGCTCAGACGTTACCTAAGCCGACGGTCATCCAATCTAACAGGTTGCCGACAGAAGTGCCGTTCTACAAGCAGCTGAGTCAGTTAGCAGAAAGCAAAAAAATTGACTTCACGTTGAAAATCACAGGAAAAATTGCCAATAATAAGTTTCCAAAATATTCACAGCTGGGTCGAATTGACAAAGACTTTATGCGGAGTAAAATACATTGCCAACGATTATTTTGCGTCAGCGGGCCCGAAAAAATGGTGGAATCCGTTGTCTGGATTCTGTTGGATCTGGGCGTGTCTCCTGGCACAATAAGGACTGATTACGTAATCAAACCTGACCCAACCAAAAGCGCAACCCGAGATAATTTAATGTCGAATATCATGAGTGCAATTGGCGGAACAGAAACACCCGAGCGAACGAATGAAATTACGTTTAAGGACGAAAACGAAAACTATTTCAATGAGCATGGCTTGAACGATTTCTTTGCTAGCGTTGTCAAAGATTTGGCGACTGAAAAACCATCAAAACCTTTCAGTTTTTGCATGTCAAAACTTCGATCCTATGCTGCTTTAGAATACCATAACACGAAACGAAGCGAATCGAGCGAGCAAGAAATTACAAATTTCTTTGACAGCACCCAAAACCAAAATATTGAAGAGCCGACTTCAAAATGGCTGAAAACCTTCTCGAAAGTCATTTTCGGGGCTCGAAAAAGAACGGTTTTTGTGATCGGAATAAAACATAGAGAAGATATTCTATGGCTGCTGAAACAGGAACACTCGGTTATCATTGCTAAAGAAGTTTGGAAGCGACAAATCGCAGAAAGTTCCGAGATCGCGAACTTGTCAGGCAAATCTCAACTTCATTCTGGTTCGAATGAGAGATCTAGCTGTAGCTTTGAAAGCTTTCACACTTCTGATCTACATAGCGACTTACGGTTCTCGAAGATGAGTTTACAGGACTTAAGTCCAGAAATAATCGGAAATCATGTCGACTGTGTTCTAGATTGCAATTATTTCGACTCCCTAACCTCAAATGAAGAAGAACAACAATTTCTGAACAAAGTTTCCCTACTACTTAGGCGAAGTGGCTGCTTGTTGTCTAGTTGTGTAACCAAAACGACAAAAAGTGAGCCAAAAGATACTTTCGGGAAGGATTTTGATCAGAAAATGAGGCGGTATTTCAAGAAGTTTTGTTTGCTGACCGTTTCGAAAAGCAGCGACGATACATTCTTGATAAATGAATCAACTTATTTTTTGCAGGGACCTAAGAATCTACAGCCTCCTTTGTTATGTTTATTATGACATTCAATTTTGAAATTACATTTTATTTCCATTTTTTTTTTTCAATTATCGATTCATTGTCATCATCATCACTTGTTTCTTTTGTGCTCTCTTTCTCTCTTCTCTCTCTCTCTCTCTCTCTCTCTGTGGATCAATTTCTGGATATCTTTAACTATCCCCAAGAATTCTTGCAAATAGGAGAGGAGAGAATTTGCTAAAAATTCAGATATACTTAACCATTGAATTATTTCTTTATAGGGGTGGCAATTCGTTGCTAGGTAATCTAGAGGAAGAAAACTTTAAAGATATATTTCTGTCCCTCTCTCTCTTTCTCTCTCTCTCTCTCTCTCTCTCTCTCTCTCTCTCTCTCTTGAACAAGCCATCGCCTTCATGAACAAAAAATTTAAATTTGAGAAAAGTTGATACGTTTAGAAATTTGAATCACGAAACTTAGCTCCTGCCAAACATTACGAAGAATCTAATTCGTCAAATGTACAGTCAAGCGCCCTTCTAGGAAATTCTCGAGGAGGGGCGGATTTTAAAAAATATAATAAAAATTTTGTCGACTTTTTTTATAGGTCGACCAAATTGGTTTTCTGTGCTCTGCCAAACCACTGTAAAGACCCCATTTTGACCCGCAGGCAAAGTTTTTTTTAAATAGGCCAAAAAGGGCTTTTTTTATCACTTTTGAAAAGTTTTGACCAAAAAATGCGTGTTTTTTCGGCGCGTGCTCCACCCTCAAAATTGGCGCCGAAGGCACCCTTAAAAAAAATAAGGGTCCGTTATCAAAAATGGATATCTCAAAATAGTACAAAGGGGCCATTTGAGTTGGCAGGGGCTCGAATCCCTGAGAAAGAAACGTCCACATGCCCCCTCCCCACCCCTGGAGCCCTGGTTTTTTTCTCGAGGGGACGAGGGCGTTTTTTGAGAGACGTTTTTTTTTAAAAGTTTTGATGGAAGTTTTTCAGAATAAATACCCTTTAAAAAAGGAAATTTTTTGGATTTTTTGGACCAATTGATGTGTAATTTCACAACTCATGTCCAAAAACTTATCGATCCCTTGCTTAACCAATAAAATTGACTTCAAATTTTTTCCCCTAGAAAGAACTACAATGAACAATTACGGCCCAAGTTTTTGTTTTCCTTGTTTTGAATGTTTTCTCCCAGTCATCTTCCCACCTGGTATTGGTGTCGATCTCAGTGGCAACAGCTGGAAGAAGATATAATTCAAAAAAGTTTCAACATGGGAAAGGAAAAGACCAACATAAGAGCTGTTCAGCTCCTCACGTAGACCCTGCTGTTGCGCCCCTGCATTATTGCAAATTACATGCAAATTTTTGACTATTTGTTTCTGGGCTGGGTAATGTTACCTCACTCTCAAGCAAAGAAAATGAAAAAATTATAATCATGCTATAATAAGCTTAATTATTTTCGCCAAGGTTTCTCGCAACTCACAACTGCAATTACTAAGCTTACATCTCGAAACGTAGAAATTGCAAAGAAAAAATAATTTCACAAGAAAAACATTGATAACTGGTTGCTAGGTAAGTAACACTAGTGTTCCGACCTCAGTCCTTGAGGCAAACAAAACATCGAAAAAGAACATTTTTTCAATATTTATCGTTTTTCAGAAATATTTTTTGGAATTAAAAAACATTTTTTTTTTTCAAAAAAATTAAAAACACACATTTAAATGACCGCTTGAAACATAGTAATAAATCGTTCAAGTTTTTTCAAAGCTTATAGTGAGAAGAAGCGTCTCCTCTTTTCACTAAAAATGAGTCTGAAAAACCAAAAATCCTGACTAGCTTTTCTTGAGGCACCTAAACTTAGACCAAAAACCCAACCTCTACTAAAGTTCACTCAAGTCATTTCAGTAATAGGGTTGGAACCATAAACAAACTGCAAAAGAAAGCTAACTTTGTGAAACATGACCAAGATAGAAGAAGAATAATCAATCAACTCGAAAGAAAAACTATTAAAAAAATATTGTTTTATGAATCTAAAATTTTACGATCGACAGTTTATTTTGTATGACTATCCCAATTTGAGAAATCAAGATCAATATAAAAAAATTT